CTTTGTCTTTTGTTGGGTTGGTTTGTTGGGGGCAGCGGGGGGTGAGGGGCAAATTAAATTTGTTGACGACGTGTCCAAACTTACTTTTTTGGTGACAACCCAGCGCCAGTTCACTCTCGAGCTCGATGATGTCGGCTGCCGCGCAGATCGCGCTGGTTGCCATTGCCCACATGAGCTCGGTCTTCCCGCTCGAGCTTTCCTGGAATGACTGCGTGCCGTACAGTCTGATTGGCGTGCATTGTCTGTTGATGAGTTACCAGCCGTAACGCCCGGGCTTTTTTGTCGACCGGATCTTTTTCTCTTTCCCCTGCTCTTTTTGTGTAGCTTGTACATCCATGTACCACTTGTTCCAATCCGACTCGTAGCTTATAAGTGACTTGCTTCATCTGAAACTTTGGCCATTCTTTTTTTTTTTTTTTTTTTTTTTTTTTTTTTTTTTTCCGCAATTTGATGATTGCTTTGGTTGAATCCTCGGTCGACGCGCTCGCCGGCGTGTGGCAGGGCTCCCACGACATGTGGACGTCGCTCTGGATGCGCGTGTCCAGCAGCGCGTCTGACTTTAACCTGTGGGTCTGGGGCACCCTCATCTCCCACCTGCTCGTCTTCTGGCTGCTCAACGCATTCTACTTGACGGTCGACTTGACTCAGGTAAATAATGATAACAATAAAAAGAACGTGCAATTCGTCCTCCTTCGGTCTTCAATGGGAAGTCGATAGACACGCACTGTTTTATTGAGTGTGCAGTGTCATGCAGCGAGCGAGTGAGTGAGAGCGAGTGAGGCAAAAGGAAGGTCAGCCGAACGAACTCGAAAACCCGCTTGCTTCGGTTTGTTGGCTTGCGCATCCAACATGCTTGATGACCGACCTGCCGCTCTTCGCTCTTCCAAGCCACAACCCTGCACTTCCAAATGATGCTATACTTGACTCGCTGCTCCGAGCACTATGTCCCATGACCGTGTGTGGGATTGTGTGACGCAAAAGCAAAAACCCCAAAGGTTGTGGTTTGGTTCAAGCAAAACACCACTCTGAGAATCTGAGAAATACTCAAAATTGTGTTCCGTCTGTTTCTCGCTCAGAAACCGAAATGGATGCTCAAGTTCAAGATTCAAGACGGACAGAACCAGCCAGTCGACAAGGCGCGCTTGTACAGCGCCATCAAACGCGCCCTGTTCAACCAGCTCTTCATGATGCCAGTGTTTTCGGCAGCGTCGTTTGGACTCGCTCAGGCGCGCGGGATTGAATTTGGAACGCCTCTGCCGAGCTTCCAAACCATCATTTTCCATCTCGCATGCTATGGCGTTGTGGAGGAAATCATGTTCTACTACAGCCACCGCCTGCTGCACTGGGGCGTCCTCTACAAGCGGATTCACAAGCTGCATCACGAGTGGACTGCTCCGATTGGCATCACGGCCATTTATGCGCATCCCATCGAGCACCTGCTGTCGAACCTGATTCCCGTCGCTGCTGGTACAGTGTTTTTGAAGGTCGTGTTTTGGCTCTCGTTTTCGAGCACTGACAGCCCAGCGCACAAAATGAATTGCGTTTGTTTACAGGTCCTCTGATCATGGGCTCGCACCTCGTCGTGTTCTGGATTTGGTACTCGCTTGCCATCTTTGTGACGTGCACCGTGCACTCGGGCTACCATCTGCCATTCATGCCGTCCTCCGAGTTCCATGATTTCCACCATCTCAAGTTTACCAACAACTTTGGCGTGCTGGGCTTCCTTGATTGTGAGGGTTGTCGTCTTTGCGAAGCGGTTTGTGCCCCGCAAGGGTTTTTGTTGTTGCGGTGGACGCTGACTGAACCAACCTGTTTCTGCTTGGGCTGGACCTGTCAAAATCAGGGCTTCATGGCACCGACAAGACTTTCCGGGCGTCCGTGCAGTTCCAGCGCCACTTTACGTCCATGTCTCCGCGTTCTCTGAAAGAGATTGTGCCCGACGTGAAGGCCAAGGCTGCGGACGCCAAGTCCAACTGAACGCGTTTCGATGTGTCGTTGTGTTGGTGGGTTTGAATTTTTTTGTGGTTTTCGTTTGCCGTCGTTGTTGTGATGAGCAGCACTGTCAATATCTACTTTTCGCCTCTCTCTCTCTCTCTCTCTTTTCCTGATCTGTCGTCACCATGCTGCCCCCTCCTGGCGTGTTCCAAATTTGCTCTTCGGTCTCCTAGATCGATGTGAATCTTTTGCTCAAACCGCAACCCCAGCGTCCCTTTTTTGGATTCGTGTAGAACATTTATCCACGTCTTCGCATTCCGCCCGCGCGCCTCCCCGCTCTCTTCTCTGCTCTCCTCTTCCGCGCTCTCCACTTCCATCCCTCCTCGCAAGCCCCTCCTCTGCTCCTGTCGCCTCGCTGCAACCAGCCACAAACCGTCCAACCGCAAAAAAGCAAAGTGGAGAAATCGGCGAAAACCAAAACAAGCCTTTTTTCGCATTCACTCTTTTTTTTTTTTTTTTTTCTTTTTTTTCTTTCTTTCTTTCTTGTTTCTTTCCGTGCTTCTGCTGTTGTCGTTCGTTTTGCTGGTCTGTTTGTGTTTTAACACGCTTCGTCCTTCTCTTGCGTGCTGATTCAGTGAAAGCACGACTGTCGGGCTGAAAAAGGCAAATACCGCTGCACACAAAACCGCTGGATTTGCATTGCGAATATTCATCGTTCTCTCTTTCTCCATTCAAATCTCGATTCCCGCTGCTTGCCTGCCAAAAACCAGACTGCGAGTGTGCAGACACACAACGAGCAGCTCTTCACGCAACATGTGGCTCAAGGCAGCGTCCGTCCGCATGGCGACCGCGACGACCGCGACAACGACAATGACAATGACGCATGCGCGCCCAGGCCCATGCTTCTCCGCTCGCCGCAAACCAACGTCGTCCTCGAGCGCATCGCGCCAGGCACCCTCCTGCTGCTGGCTGCCGCTGGCATTGCTGGCATCGCTCGTGCTGGCTTGCTCCCTCCCGGCCGGCGCGTTCGCTGGGTGCGACTTTAACATGAACTCGTTCTCCGCGCTCAGGGCGCAACTGGAAACTGCCAATGCGGTCAACAAGATTGTTTGCATGACCAACGCCCAGGTGGATGTGCCGACTGGTGTGCTTCCCATCAACATCATCGGCAACTACACCGTTACTGGCAGCGGAGGAAATTCGCCCGTCACGTTCGTCACGACCGACACGGTCAACCCCTTCATGCAGCCGAACTCGCCTTTCCTGGAGATTCGCTTTTCTCAGACAACCTTTGTCGGGTTTTACTCGGTCGTGCGGAGCTTTTCCGATACAAAAGTTGTGATGAACAATGTGGTCGTTCGTGACGGCGGTGGCGCCCTGTCGTTGAACTGGAACGCGGCCCTTGTTGTTGCCGACGCCACCTTTCAAAACCTGACCGGCACTGCCGTTGACATTGCCAGCGCCGGGCGCCCCGTTCAGCTGAGCAATGTGCGGTGCCTTCAGCTGGCTGGAGGCTTTGTCATCACAAGGTGCATCAGAGTTTCCGGTACCCCGACCTCGGTCATTCTGAGCAATGTGCTGGTCGCGAACAGTACTCATCAGGCCATTGAAGTGGTCAACAATGGAGCCGATAGCTGCTCGGTCGGTATCAATACTCTTACGCTGCAGTCCAACCTCGTCATGGACGGCTACGAGCTGGTGATTCTCCAAAACACCAACGTCTCGATCACAACACTCCGAGTGGTCAACAACACCTTTCAATTCCCAACCTCGTCCTTGTATGCCATCCATGCCCCTGTTGACGACTTTTCGGGAGTGCTCACGTTCGCCGCGACCGACTTTGTCCTCGATCTGCCCTTGTACGTGAAAACAAGCGGGCGTGCATTCAATTTTTTTTTTGGGCATGTTTCGGCGTTGGTCGCTTCTCACTGCACGCCTTTCCTTTTTGTTAGAAATGAGCGTTACGGTGGATTTGGAGTGCAAGCAAGTCGGGTCTCCCTGTCGAACGGCGTGATTACCGGCGGTGGACGCAACATGTTTGATTGCACCGCGTCTTCGCCAGCCAATGTCGGCCTCTTTGTGGCCAACGATGTCACCATACAAAACGCATTCGTATCCCAACAGGACAACTCAGGCGGTGCCCTGTACTTGAGCAACTTTGTGTCCAGCATCTCCAACTCTCGGTTTTTCGGCACGCGAAATGACGTGTTTATCGGCGGCTACGGTGGTGCTGTCCACGCAGAGACTCCTGGGACGCTGACAATCATCGACAGCACCTTTTCTGGCAACAATGCCGATCTGGATGGCCACTCTCTGTACACCACCGTCAATACGACTTTGGTCCGCTGCACGGTGATTAACAATTTGACTCCCAGCAACACCAGGACTGGTATTTATGCGGGTGCCGCCAGCAAGATCGAACTGCAGCTGATCGGTGGCCAGTTCTCGGCAGGGTATTACGCGATCAAATTGCACAACATCATTTTGACCGTGGACGGCGCGACATTTTCTCATCCATACCTCCAAGGGAATCTCATTTTCGACGACACCACCCAAGCGCAACATACCTATCGCAACGCCATTTTCGGTCCAATCAACGGCACGGATACGACCTATGTTCTCCTGGCTCAATCCCAGCTCGCAATGTCCATCTCCAACACGACCTTTTCCGACATTCGGCCGAGAATCTTCCAGGCCAATTCTGTGACAGCCACAATGAGCGATTCGTCGGTTTTGCGCAGTAAGATTGCTATCTTTTTGTCTTGCTTTTTTTTTTTTTTGTCTCTGTGTGTGTGTGTGTGTGCAATTTCTCGGTTGCCCTGTCGACTTGTCTCTGACTGCCAAGTTTGTTCGACCTTTCTCACCCCTTTGATTTTCGGTCTTTGATTTGCTCGTTTGTGGTTTGGGTTGGAAATAGCAAACGGCGTTTTCGTCGTGCCCACGCAAAATCTCAACATCACCCGCTCCTCGTTTGTGGACATTACGGCTACTTCAGCGAATGTGATGGCCGGTGCCATCACTGACACCGTCTCTGGTTTTGCCACCGTGACCTTGACGGCAACAAACTGTCAATTCCGCAACATTGTGTCGAAACATGCGCCCTTTGTTTCCGGCGACGGAATTTTCAAGTTTGCCGGTTGCGACTTTCGCAATAACAGCGGTGTCGGGCCAGCGGGACCGCTCAATGCCGGACTCATCCAATGGGCCACATCGGCATCCGTCCTGACTGCCTCGCTTGTCAACTGCACAGTCTCTGGCAATCGTCACACCAATCCAAACGCAACGCTGATTGGCGCGGGAACGACAGCGCCCTACAGCAGCGGGTTGCTGAACTTGGAAATTGTGGGCTCTGTCTTCTCTGGAAACCAGGGCGGTGTTGAGGTCGCCCTTCAGGGTGGCAGTGCCAGGATTGTCAACACGAAATTCCTCAACCTCGCAAGGAATTCTTCTGGTGGCTATGGCCATCTAGCGCTGGTGTTTGAAGGACCGAGTTCCAATGTGACCATCACGGACAGCCAGTTCCAGAATGGCAGGTAAAAGAGATTGGGTCGCTTTGGCTTGCGGTTTGTTTTTGGGTTGTTCTCTGGCTCGTCAAACTCACTGCTGCAACACTGTGTCTCATCCCCCCCCCCCGACACCAACTCCCAAACAAAACCTAGGGCTCAAGCGTGTGCTGCTGCCAAAATCTACGCTCAGAGCGTGTCCATTGTCCGAACAACGTTTGATTCCTTCTCGACTATTGACAATGGCGCAGTTTGTCTCAAGACGGTACAGGGCGCTCTGCAGTATTCCAACTTTACAAACAACTACTGTGCCTCCGGGCAGGGTGGTGCGATGCGGCTCGTCCACGACGTCAACACGTACGACTCGTTTGTGAACTTTACGCAGGTGATTCTGCAAAATAACACGGCTGCTGCAGGCGGCGCCATCTATGCGGCTGCCACATCCTACCCTCGCTTGCTTCAAGTCAGCTTGGTGGACGTGCACTTTTACGAAAACACTGGATTGACTGGAACTTCGGCGCTTCACATCGACACAAGCGTGACTGTAACAGGCAGCGGTGTGACCTTCGATTCCAACCGTGTTCTTAATGGTACGAGGCTGATATCGCCGTTTGTTGACGCAATTGTTCTTGCCGAGCCAATGATCTGACTTGTCTTTGATGCTGTCTTTTGTTCCGTGTGATTCTCCAGCTCTCACACCCACAGGAAGCGTCACGCTCACCTCGTATGATTCCAAGTTGGCTTGCACCGGCTGCACTTGGACGGCGAATATCGGAAATCGCAATGGCTCGGCCGTCACTGCCAGGGGCTCGTCATTCGTGCAAGCCGACGGTTGCACATTTGTCCGGAACGACTGCACGTCGCCGTACTGCTGGATTGTCTATGTCGAGACTGGGGCCAAGTTCTTTGGCGCCACAGCAACGTTCGAGCGCACCGAGCCACACTACCAGGATGTTCTCATTTACCAGTCGCCCGCGTACGTCTTCCTTGGTGACTCGTGCGTTGTCGAGAATCTGAACATTGGCTCGGCCACATACGTCGACTATGGGCGAAACGTTGGTGGATTCTGTTCGACTGCTTCCAGCTGGGGCGCCGACGGTCTCGACTGCTGTGTTCCTGGCTTTAGTGACTTCCAGGCCTGCTCGTGCTCGAGCGGCGAGATTTATGACGACGTTTCCAACACGTGCTCCGATTCGAGTCTATGGTTTGCACAGCTTGATCAGCGTCCACGCTCCACAGCGCCGGAATTGCAGGTGGTGCTGTCAAGCATGAATGCTGGCTTTGCGGCCATTGGTACAACTGTGGCGACAAGCTCGGTCGTGGAAAACATGGCAGGTCTGCTTCAATCCTCAGTGTCGCTCATTCGTTCCGACGCCCCGTGCGCCCAGAGCTTGGTCTCTGTCATTGCAAGCTTGGCGTTGATGGGCAATGCTTCCGCGGTGACCACGGCGCAACGCACCGCGCAAGACTCTGCCTCCAATCTCGTTCTGATCGTGGAGCGCGGTATTTTCGGCCTTCTCGCGGGCGTCACGACCCCACTCACCTACGTGTCGACGCCCAACTCTACCCACGTTGTGGCGCAAGCGGTGACTGTTTCGACAAGCACCTCGCAATCGGTGGTGTCTGTCACGCTCTTTGACGGACAGCTGACTGCCAGATTCCCTCTGTCGCTCCTCAGCACGTTGGGAGCCACCATCCCTTTGGCAGGCGTCGGGTTTTCCTCGAGCGCAGCGGCCACCCTCTTCCCAGCCCCGAGCGACGCGTCGTCCAACAGCAGCTCTGCGGATGGCCTCCCTGCAACGACAGTAGTCTCCCTCGTTTTGGACGGCATCGCCGTCTCCAACGCCGCGCACCCAATCGAGGTGACATTCACCCATCCCTCGACCTCTGCCCGCCGCACATGCGCCTTTTACAACTTTACAACCAACCAGTGGCAAGAGTCGGGCCTCACGCTGGTCGCGAGCACGCCCACCACAACCACTTGTCAGACAATTCACTTGTCGTCCTTCTCGGTCTTGTTTGCCGTCGATGGCGATGCGTCGGACTCGGTTGCCCTCACCGCCATCACCTACATTGGCTGTGCGTTGTCGATTGTCGGGTGTGTCTTGACGCTGGCATCCTTCCTGGTGACACGCCAAAAGACCACCTCGTCGTTGCAACTCAGCATGCTGTGCGTCGCGCTGCTGTTTGTGAATGTGCTGTTCATTGTTGGCTCGGCCGTGTCGGACAATGTGACGAGCTCTGACTCTGCCGCGGACGCCTGCATTGCCATTGCCGCGTTGCTGCACTACTTTTTGCTGGCTGCCTTTGCCTGGATGTTGATTATCGGAGTGTCCCTCTACCGGACATTGGTCCAGTTGCACGGAACGCTTGAGGGCGTCGGCAAGGTTTCTTCCCTGTTGGCTTGGGGTAGGTCGTTTGGCTTGTTGTGGGTTGTTTTTTTGTGTGTTTTTGTGTTTTTGAAACTGTCACTGAAGATGGCTCACCCTCTGTCGGTTTTGCTTTCCTGTTCATTCGTCAGCCGTTCCGTTGATTCCAGTGATTGTCATTTTGGGACTGGATGTGGACTACTACGGCTCGGATGGAGCGTGCTGGATTAGCAATCGCAACGCCCTCATTGCGGGCTTTATCGCGCCCGTTTTGACCATTATCGCCGTCAATTTGGTCATCTTTGGTCGGGTGGTGAGAGTCCTGTTCCAAAACTTGACGGACGCCAAGCTGATTGGCAAGGAAGACCGCTCGCATGCCAAGGTCGCAGCGTCTGTCTTTGTGCTCCTGGGCATCACGTGGGTGTTTGGCGTGCTTGTGATGGATGGAAGCTATCGCACCAGCACGTTCGAGTACCTGTTTGTCATTTTCAACTCGCTCCAAGGACTGTTCATCTTCATCCTCCTGGTTGCGACTCGCCGCCAGCTCCGTCATGTTCAGAAGCGACTCACCGTGCGACGCAAGCCCGGCCAAGCCGCCCAAGAACCTCAGAAATCGCAGCACTCCAGGCAGTCTACTTCCGATCCTCTGCAGTCCAGCACTGTCATGGGGACGCGTCCGTCAACGCTGGTCACCATGGATCGCCGCGGTACAGGCCCGTCATCTTCTAGCTCTGAGGGAAACCTCACACGGTCCAACACTGGAGTCTCGTCAACAGCGTCAGACGGGCATCTGCTTGACGAGGATCGCCCGCAAAAGTCCATGATGGAGATGACCAGCTACGGCCAGGCGGTCGATGACGAGCTTTACATTGGCGATGCTGCACAGAGCATTCACATGTGAAGGTCGCCCGTTTGTTTTGTGTTGAGCGCATTGTTTTAGTTTGTTTTGTGCTTGAGTGTTGAGAATTTAGTTTTGTTTGTGTTTCGCTGCAATTCAATCGTTCATTGCGGCTTTCCACCTCAGTACAGAAATCTAAGAAATGGAACGGAGTGTTTTGTTTTTTAAGTTTCAATTGACGACGAACAAGAGAGACACACACACACACTTTGGCAAACGAAATCCAAAAAAAGCATTGACATCGACAGAGCTCATGCAGCAAACACAACTACGCAAAAAACTGATTCCAATGAAAGACAACCAACAAACAAGCAACATGCTAAAGCAACCAAAAGCAAATCACAAGAAGGGTCCTACACATGCGACAAATTTGATAAAATGTCTTAAGAGTGTCCTGGCATTGTGTTGTTTTTTATCTTTTCTTCTCTTTTTGTTTTTCTTCTTTTTTGGTTTTGTTTTCTTGGATTTTGTCCTTTTTTTAGTTCATTTTTCTGGACGGCGTGAGCGGGTAAAGCACCCACGGCAAGTAGGTACTTTAAAGCACAAGTCGCACCTCACTCGCGAATGCAAGCACAGCACGCTTTTAGCAATGGCACTGGCTGCGAGACTGAGGAGCGTGAGCGTTGGAACCGAAGAAGCGAGGATTGCCCTTGTGTCGGTTGCCAACGGCGGACGACTGGTTGTGCTGGGCGGCATACTTGCCAAACACGCTGGCGTGTAGCATTTGCTTGCGCTGCGCGGTAAGCAGGGCGTTTTGCTCTGCGCGACGAGTTTGCAGCTGCAGCTCAGACTCGGTGAGCAAGGCCTCCAGGGAATCAATGCGGGAATCGTGGGGCTGCAGCTCGCTTCGGCTCTTGTGCGACCGAGGCGTGACGTGGTGATTCTTGTGCGGCTCCTGCGTGCGCAGGCGGATTCCGCCGACGATGCGCGCTGGCACAGCACGTGCTTTGATGTCCGGAACCTTGGCCAGGGCGTTTGCAGCAGAGCTGTCTGGAGTCGACAGCCGAGCAACGTCCATTTCCACCGTCGTTTGGGCAGGCTGTTGCATCATGCGGCCCACCGAACGGAACCAGGACCCGACGTACGACGACGGCGCGCCCTCGGCAGCCGCAGCAGATCCAGCATAGGCCATCTCGATGCTGGCGCTCATGTCGAGCGACTCGGACAGCTGACGACTAAATTCGGCGGCACGCAGTTTGCGCTGTGCTTTGGCCGTCATCCGGCGCGAGCGGCGATTCTGCTGCTGCTGTTGCTGCTGCTGAGCAGATTCGTCTTCGAGGACTTGCACACCAGCATCGCAGTCGACCATGGAGCCTTCGTCCTCCGAGATCATCTCCTCGTCGCCCACCTGAGATCCCGTCTCCGAGTGGGTCACGCTATGCTCGGCGGTTTCGACTCCCGGGGAGCGCACGTCCTGCACGGTGATGCCTGTGCGAGAGTTGAAGATGAACCGCAGATGGTGTGAGCCTGTCAGTGCATGTTCTCTGTGTGGCGTTCAAAGTCTGGCGTTGTAATTTTTCGATGGGAATTATCCCCTCCACCGCCACCACCCCCAACATCGCCCCCCCCCCGAACAAATCCTCACATTCAAAGCACTCATTCGCCAACAATCCAAAAACAAAAAAAAATCACCCAAAAATGTCGCGCCCTAAATTTTGAAATTTTTCGAAATTTGGATGACGAGAAGTTTGGTTGAAATTCCAGGTTGGTTTTGTTCGTTCACTCACCGTGTTCGCTGTCGTCCGTGTGTCCGTCGAGTAATAGCCAGCCCTAATAAAGTTGAAACCCATAGCAAAACAAGCACCATGGCACAAGGAGGAAGCAAGTGAGCAAGTAGGAAACAAATCTCGGAAAGAGGAACTGAGGCAGAAGGAACAACGGAAGCAAGCTCATCTGCAGTGCTTTGTCCTCCCCCTC